TGGGCATCCTTCGTTTCACATTTCACTCAACTAGTTTTCTATCTATCAGCGCCATCAGCAGCCAGAAGTAATTACATATTTCGAGTCTTCTAAGTGGCATGAAGAATAGTGGATATGGTTTTGGTGTGGCTTCATTTGAACATTTATAAATGAAAGCCTGCTTGTTCGTCAAACAACTCAAAATATTTGTCTCTGTCACCTTGCGTGGATCAGATACCGAACCAACAATCATCTATAAATCCACAGTAATGTAATGACAACAGATCTACTACTGGGACTCCACCTAATACATAATGCAGTGGCAAGACTCTGTGCCCGCCGTTGTTCCATTGCCAACTCTCTTCTCTGTAAGAACTACTTTCCGTACCAGCTGAAGATTGAGCAGTTCAGGTGCTCTTTTAATAAACCCATAAGCGGCTGAATCGAAAGATCATACATGTTTATGTAACCTTCGTGTTGTATAGGAAGTTTGTGGACAGTTGGTGACATTCGAGACCTTTGCATGAAGGACGGAAACGTTAAAGAAGGTCATCAGCTACCCGCTGTCGGAAGTGGCCTTACACAGACGGTCCAAGAAGGGATAGGTGTTCGACAGTTGGGCTGGTATTATGTGTTTTAGCAACCGGATCAGTACAAAGTTTGTAAGCCAAGTTATTCAATCCGTGGATGTGGACACATGTACACAGCTGGTGATGGTTTCTACCTTCAACGTTGAAATGTTTCTAGACGCCAGGTCAATAGTAGATCAGAATTTATGTTTTAATAAGTATGTGAAAGGTGCGGCACGTTTGTAACTCATTTTCAGTTCTAGAAATAATTGTCACCTATATCAAGCTTTGTTCCGTTTATCGTCGAGTAACTCCAGCGAGTGCCAGTAAATCTTCTATTTTTTCTTGTCGCTTGCGAGTATATCCCAATTGATTCTGCTCGCCCTAGGAATTCGTTGAGCAGCATGCCTTTCTTCCAGACTTTTCGTAAAAAACTCTGACCATCGAACCGGTGGTCTTTCTGTAGTACGTTTGACATTCCAAGAAGCCCAGTAGCTAACGACTACTATTGTCCACCTGTTGTCGTTCATACGCATTACGTGCGGGCTTACCTTATCTATGATTGTTTGGCGTATAGAACAGCATCTTCGTTTCTTCATCGTTGACGCAGGTCGAGACATCCGATCTTTACCATTGTGATACGGGATACACTTAGCATCGTTCTTTCGACTGCGCGTTCAATAACGGTAACTGATCTTCCATCCTGCTCATGCAGCGACCACGATTCTGACGCATGCGCTAACGCAGGAAGCATCGTTCAGTCGAAAAGGTGGGCATGGAGTGAAGATGCCCAGATGAAACACTCCGCCTGCGTTAATAAATGTTTCTCTAATCAATAATGTATTGGTATTCTGTAGGCTTAAAAACCCATACGTTTTATTCAAACTTTAACCCTTTCCAAGGCATTAGGGGTTCTTGCTATCCATATTTATGTTGGTTTTGATTTTTTGCATACCACTGTTAAAATGATATTGATTATTTGAAATTTCATATAGGCAGATGGATTCAAAACATTGTGGGTGGAAAGGTTGCCTGCGCTCATCCATTTGCTCTATGTTTGCTCATCCTCCGTTCATCTGACTAAATTGCTTTCCCCACTATCTCTCTTTTGTTTTATCACCTAGGAGTTAGCAAAATGCTTTACTGTGTGTATTTGTGGTGGGGATAGAGGGACGGTTTAGTGATTTCGACTATAGCCTCAGCATAACTGGGTTCGATGCCAATTTGTGCTCCTCATATTAATTCCGTTAACGGACGAATGCTGATGGCACTGTTACGCAGAGCTAGCTGAGGGAAAAGCGAAGCGAAGGATCCACATGGTGTGGTGGGTGGGCGAGTCACCGCAAACATCAGCGGTGCGGAGTTTTGCAAATATCTCAGCATCCTTGTGGTTGTATTTCACATAGCACCCTGTCGTGGAAAATTGTAGTAGGCAGCAAATAAAAAACTAAACGTAATGACATGAATATTCTTGTTACTTCACACAAGCTGCTAGTTTGATGACTGAGAGCTTAAAAGATTGAATGACGGCAGGCGACGAGGGTCATCTGTCTTAACGGGAGAGACGGGGATAATATGAGTTCAGGTACGATGTGCTTGATCTCGTGTAAGAAATGCGGTGAGGAATACACTGGGGGATGGGCAGACCACTTTGTGTCCGCACAAAAGGGCGTCTGGATGGAAAAATCAAATTCGGCGAAGTACTCCTTTAGATACACATAAGGCACAGAAGCACAATGACGATGATTTGGAAATGACTGTCCAGATCCTAGCGAAGGTATCAACACCATAAATGCGCAAGACTCTCGAGGCGTTTTCGATTACTTTCAAAAACCCAAAGATCAACCGAAAGGACGAATGCCTCACTATCACACGCGACTTGGCGTCTTGTTTCAAAATGATACTTTGACCCCTGGATGGGTCTCGCTCGCCGCCCAAGTGAACGATACGCGGGCAGTCCAACTCGCAACACAACGGTGAGTGGCCTTTTTGGTCAATACGGCGTTTACCTGAAAGTTTGACCCTCATTAATACTATGAATAATTCACCGAATATAAGACTACTGCTACGTAAAATACGTCTAGGCTCTGAGGAGGACAAAGACGCTGAAGCATCAGCCTTCGACGAACAACGCCAACAGCATCGACAACAAGAGCGATGACGAAAACATCTGCCAACCTCGCATCGCACCACCAAGGGGTGGGCTTCAAGGGATCTAAGCGAATTGTGTTGTCCGTATTAATAAAGGGTTTAACTTTGTTATCTAAGACGTGGAATTTGTAGAGTTTTAGGTAAGTGACGTATCTCACCACTCTCACGTGCAGAAGCAGCAGACGAAGTGATTTGTTTTTGAAAATAAACGATCATTGCATACGCACACACATGCTGGGTATATATTTGTTGTATATTTGTATAACAAAATTCTTAAATGGAGAGGAACTGTAGTGTTGGGAACGTTACGGAGATCCGTAAGTGCTACCTCAGTGTAGCTCACCATTTACAACATTAAAATAGCCCCTTGCGATGAGACTCAATGGAGCAACCGCTGTATCCACAAGAGTATTGTAGACGGTGATACACGACTTTCACTTTAACACATTTGACAGTTGAGTCTACCTTTATTCACGTCATATCAGGTAGGCAGATATGCCAGCCAGCAGGCTTCCGTTACGAGACACGGCGTGTTATCTAAATGTTAAAAATTGCATAAGGTATCATTTGAATGAAGCTGAAATGCATGCAAAATTCATTCCTAGGTTCGTTTTTCTCTGTCGCTCAACAGTTGTTGAAAAGAACTTTTGAGATTTTAACATGCCTACTGGTTGCCTCTATTTGAATAACAGTGTCAGGGACCGTTTAACTTCTCGTTACCAGACGATTTTGACCAGCTCATTTTTTCCCGCTTACTTTTACGTCGTCGTTCCAATATCGTCATCATTGGCGTTATCTAGCATCTGTGGGTATTACTTAAATCTGGCTTTTAATGATCAGGTTGCAAATGGTCGCAATGGATGACCAACAAGACCCTGTTATTGGTTATGAACAGTGACATCCACAATATCGGAAACTATCGACCAATCTATTTGTCACCTGTCGTATGAAATAAACTCTTAGTCGGTTAGCCGGTTAGTCGCGAGGCAGCGTGGCGCGTCCCCAGTTGGCGGATAGGGGCTAATCGCGGACCAAAAGTGACCTTCGCTTTCCTGAGACGCAGATGGATCCAGGGATAGAGGGGCGCATCTCTTAGTGATTGTTCAACGCCGAAAGCTTTAGCTTTATCCCTTATACCGACCTTCAAAGATGCGGGCTGGCATGTCTACATCTTAGGGATATATTCGACGATTTTTTTGTGAACACATTTAGGACGCATTTGGATCGTGCTGCTAGCACTATGTAATGTGTGTGATCGCAATTTATCACACAAAGAACCTTCATGAAAAAGTCAAGTAGATAAAGCTTCTCTTTGTATGCTGTGTAAAAATAGTGACCACCCATAGAGCACTTGAAATTCACAGCACCATTAAATTATATCTGGAAAACAAGCACAAAAGTATGCGATTAAAGAATAAGTACACAGTGACTATTGTCATATCTGTAACAACGATTCAACCGCTGCACTATATTGTCCGAAAAAACTCGTGTTAAATTAAAAGAGGTAGTTTTTAAAGCCACGGATCTCCCTCATATGAGGGATCTCGGGCTAGCTAGGCGCGAGGCTACGTGGCGCGTCCTCAGGTGGTGGATAGGGGGTTAATCGCGGACCAAAAGCGACCATTGCTTCCTTGAGACCCAGGTGGATCCAGGGGATGGACTCACTGTTTCTGCTGCGCTGATTTGGCATATGCCTTCTGTATTTGCTGGGCGTATTCATGCATGCGTGTGTGGGCACGTTCAAGTTTGTGCGGATTATATTCTGCGAGTCAATTCGGCCAAAAGCCAGCAATCAACTGGGAAGTATATGGAAGTCGGTTAGGAGTCGCCTCCAACAAATAAACTCCACTTCCACTTTGAAAGAGACTGGAAAGTTACCCATGAGTATACCCAACCCCCCGTTCAGAGCCCATCAAGCTATTCGTGTATATCAAAACGCTAAACACAGTGATAAAAAAAACGGGCCTCATTCCCCTGACCCCGAAAGAGCCCCAATTTCGCAGCGTTGGGTAGGACGAGTGCGAAGAGGCTACTAAAACCTCAGAGCCAGTGGAAGCTGCCGGGATTTCAAAGAATTATGGGATCTGTACCTACAGTGCACGTACACTTGCATCCGCGTCCTCCATAGAAGGCTTTCTCATGCAAGCAAGAAGAATAAGGTACGATTTCATCGTCCTGGTCGGGACGAGAAGACGCCAGCCTTTCAACGCTGTCTATGACACCGGAGAAGAACTGTACTTCAGAACATGCAACAGTAGAGGAGTCGGCGGCATCGACGTTCTCGTAAACAGGAGTTTGTCCATGAACATCAATTCATTCGTAGAACTTACAACCCGAATCGGACGTTTACGATTAAGAAGACGTGGGTCAATTCCAGCTTTAACAACCTTCGTCGTTTACGAGCCGACATCAAACTGCGACGAAGAAGAAGTCGAAGCGTTCTATATGGACTTGGAGAAGTTTTGCAGAGAATGCCGTACATTCTTCAAGGTCATCATTGGAGATTTCAAAGCCAAGATTTGCCCAAGAAGAATGTCTGAAGAACGTCACATTGGGAACCACGGATTAGAATGTAACGAACCGGGTGAGCGGCTCTCTGAGTTTATCATGACGAACAAGACCGTCCATGGAAGTCTGTACCACCATGGAAGACCAGCGTCTGTACCTACAATGCACGTACACTTGCATCCGAGTCCTCGATAGAAGACATGCCCATGCAAGAAAAAAGGATAAGGTATGACGACATCGGCCTGGCCGAGACGAGAAAGCGCCAAACTTTCAACGCCGTCTTTGACACCGGAGAAGAACTGTTCCTCGGAACATGCGGCAGTAGAGGAGTCGGCGACGTCGGAGTTTCCGTCAACACAAGTTTGTCCATGAACATTAATTCATTCGAAGAACTTACAACCCGATTTGGACGTTTATAGATCACCATTGGAGATTTCAACGCCAACATTCGACCAGGGAGAACGTCTGAAGAACGCCACATTGAAACCCACGGATTAGAGCGGAACGAGCAGGGTAAGCGGTTATCTGAGTTTATCATGGCGACCAAGACAATCCATGGTAACTCGCAATTCCAAAGCCTCACCCTCAGCGCTGGACGTGGGAGTCTCCATTGGAGAGTACCATAACGAAATAGACCACATCATAGTAAATAGAAGGTTTTCCCCAACCGATTTCAGTGTTGCCCGAAAATTCTACACGTGATCAAACCGTCGACTTCTTCGTCCAAGATTCTATTTCACGGGAAAATGAGAAAAAGTCGCTAATTTCCAAAACCGAGATCCCAGAACCACCGTAATCTGGGATGTATTCAATTCATTAGTCGGTTGTCGGAAAGACGCCGTTACCGGTAACATCGAATAAGAGCACGATCGGCTCATTCAACATCTTCACAGAAGCGCTATGAAAGCTGAGATTTCGAAAGTCACCAAGAGACGTCTGTCCCCAGAAACTACCCAGCTGATACGCCGGCATAGAATCGTACGATCTGCAAGCAACCGCGATCTAACGTCCGAACATACAAAACAATGCAGAGAGGCGATAAAAGAATATCTTAGAGCGAGAAGAACAGCAGCAATGGCCGAGGCTGCAAAGGCTGGAAAAATCATTCGCAAAGCCCAAAGAAGCTTCGCCAACTACAAGACCGAAATTATTGCTCTCCGGCACCCGGACGGAACAGTTACATCGTCCAGAAAAGCAATGGAGAAAATCATTCACGAATTCTACTCGGATCTCTTCGTTAGCCACGTCTACCTTCCGTCATATGAAATGAAGGAGGATGTATATATTGCACCACCAGTTCTCCCTGCCGAAATCCGGCATGCCAAAAATCGAACAGTGCCAGGTCCGGAGAAAATAGTATCAGAACACCTGAAGAACCTTCCGGCAGCCCTCGTAAACACACTGGCTCGGCTCTTCACGCGTCACCTGTCTGAATGCAAGGTCCCTACCCAGTGGAAGACCAGCAAAAACCGCGTTATTGTTCAAGAAGGGTGACCTACACGATATCGGCAACTATCGCTTAATCTGCTTACTGTCTGTCGTTTACAAACTTTCCACTCGAGTTATCCTAAACGGAATTAACAGAACACTAGGCGAAGGATAACCGTGTGAGAAAGCAAGAGTTTGAAAAAATTTAGTAACAACGACCACATCCACACGGTAACACGGCTCATTGAAACATTGAGAGAGTGCAAAAGACCGTTCTGTTTCACTTTCATCGGTTTACAGAAGGCCTTTGATTCAGTTGAGATGGAAGCAGTCTTGGAAACCCTTGTAGTCAAGGAGTCCCTACTCAGTAGATAAAAATTCTTTGTGAGCTGTACAAAAATTTCAGAACACCATTCTACAACAATGTTAAAATTGACGCCAAAAGAGGAGTTAAGCAAGGAAGGCGATACAATACCTCGCCAAAATTATTTACCGCTACCCTCAAAAACGTCATGCGAACATTGGAATGGAATAATATGGGAGTGAAAATCGACGGTCGGCAGTTATACCATCTTCGCTTTTATGATGACATCGCCCTTGTAACTCCAAACATTAGCCATGCGAAACGTATGCTTGCCGACTTTGATAACGCCTGTGGAAAGATTGGCCTTCGACTAAATCTCACATGAATGATGTTTATGAGGAACGGATTGGTTTCGTATGCTCCATTCACGCTCAACGGAACGAATATCTTCGAATGCTCCAGTTATATCTACACAGGTCGGGAAATCAATATGATGAACGACCTAGCTCCAGAGCTGAGTAGAAGAAAACGAGCGGCATAGAAAGCTTTCAAGAGCATCGAGGATGTCGTGAACAGAACAAAAAACACCTAACTTCGTGCCTACGTTTTCGATTCAATAGTGCTTCCTGCCCTAACACATGCGTCAGAAACCTGGTGCTGCGTAAGCAGGATGAAAGGTGCGCAGTCGAAAGCACGATGCTAGGAGTATCCCGTTCCACACAAGTAAGAGATGGGATACGAAGCTCCGATCTGCGTCAACGGTCAAAAATCAAAGATGCCATTCTGTGCGCCAAGCATTCGCAGATACGGTGAACCGGACACGTAACGCGTATGAGTGACAATCGATGGACGATGGAGAAGAGTTAGTGACTCGATTACTCAGGATGTTAAACGCACTGCAGAAAGACCACCGACCAGGTGGTTAGAGTTCTTCACAAGGAGCCTAGAAAAAAGATATGTTGCTCGACGAGTATCTCGACCGAGCAGAAACCACTGAGCTACTCTTGTACGCGACAGGGAAAAATGGAAGATTTACTGGCGCCCGCTCGAGTCACTCGACTATCAACGGGACTACAGGTGATACAGATGACAGTTGTTGAAGTCATGAAGCTTACTCCAACGAAATTTTGCTTTTGTGGAAGAAGTCCGTATACAACCTCATGTCTAGTTGCTTTGAATGGATGAGAAAAACCGTAGCAAACGATGAGGGTTTTACTACTTGAAATTAATAAATCTTTGCTAAAACCGAGCACAGTCCAGACATGCATAGCTATTCTATAATCAGTAATGTCTCACCCACAAGGGCTACCGACTGAGGTTCGTCCATGCTCTGTGTTTCCTCTTAATTTGTATGCAGCGATTTGGGCGGAAATCGGATATAATTTCCGTACACACATGAGTCGACTCAAGTATTTATAAATATAACAGCAGCTACACATTTTAATGCTTGGACATTCCACTGGCCTATGTTCATGATGAATCATCCAATACAATTTTCACGTTACAGTAATGCTGTTCTTTGAAAAGTTTTTTTTTCTTCGAGATGCAGAACAGCAGTTGTTTAGCGCAAAAGAACCCATTCTTCATGAAGATGCAGTAGAATACTGAGAAGAGTACGGCTATCAGTTCGACTCAGTACGTATAAAATGTGTTTCTATCGCATTTGCGGCCTACAGTATGCACACGATCGCTTATTTATACCAATGCGTTTATCTCCTTTATGAAGGGCTCTCCACATTTTTTCGCGAATGGCCGAACTTGAGATCATTCATATGAGCGCGATCTGTGGACTCGTAACATTGTCTTAGTAGGAAAAAAAAAACTCGCACAAAAGAGTCCGGAACCTACTTTATAGTTGGAAAGACCTAGGTCGAAATTGTTCGCCAATATAGCTATATCGTGTTCTACGAGGACAATGCGCTGAAATAAGGGCAACTGCAATTACAAAGAAACAAAACTGTGTGAGAACATCAATGATAACACGGTGTCCAGTTTTCTTCGTTCAGAAAAACTGGAAAGCAATGCGTGTGTTTTTCTATACACTGTATATGTGCATGCTTTATTCTTTCTTCCGCTCATGAAGATGTCTAATCCAGAAATAGACGTATAGCACGCTGAATGATGAAGGAGACGTATGGCACGCTGAATGTGTGATGTTGAGGCGGTGTCAATCCTTTTTTCATTTCATGGGAAAAGTGACGCTGCTCTATTAGAACAGTACTGTAACTAGAAGATGGAAAAAGAACAAACAAAACTGAGGCAAACTAATCCACTACTGGTGAGTCGTGTGAGCACAAATGTATTGTAGATCCTCATACAAACGCTGGATTCGTTGAAGCGCTGAACTTACATGCAATACATGCTGACGCATTCCCTAGCTGTGGTTCACTTTTCTGAACATCTACAGCAATTTGTTCTAAAAATTAACAAATTGTCGAAAAACTTCTCCCATTCAATAATTTTAAACTCTCAGGGTTTCCAAGGAGTGGAGCTTATTAACTTGTGCCAGTGCCGAAAAGGTGTTGCAGTTTTGAACGACATTTCTGCTGTGAATAAGAACTTGCGACGGATGTAGGTGTTTAATAACAGATTTCGTAAACCGCCATTATTTCACGAATGACCGAATATATTTTGGCGAGCATCAGGTCCCCGTACTATTTCCATTCATTTTGTTTCTAAGCAAGCAACATCCACGCAGATGGACTACTTCCCATTTACTAGAGCAGTTCGCTCAGGTCAGTTATAAACGTATCTGCCCGTCTTTGCCAAACATATTGTTGACGCTAGCAGAATTACAGAGTGTGAAAGAAGTGCTGGACATCAAAAATAACCGCCTGCTCGTGGTACTAAAGGTATCCGAAAAAGAAGCCAACTAAACCAAAAAAAAAACAAGTGAGATCGATTTAGTGTAAAGCACAACAAGATCACAATACACAGGTTACTCAGCCTTTATGCATAAAGAATTTCTTCGCTTCCAATTTCCGTCGCGCCGTCCCAGCAGATTCCACTCTAAGACGCTAAAAGGTATTCATCGGAAAGGTCTTCAAATCCACAGTAGAAAATTGTATACACGTCTTGCTGGGTTGGGTCGTTCTGCAGTGATGAATCGCGCATTTCAGTTGCATTCAATGCATTGAATGAGTCGTTGCTGTCGAATATTGCAGCACAAGCCGTCTCGTCGTCGGAAGAGTATGAAAAATCATCATGCCCATCTGTAACCATGGTTGAATCATGCAGCAATACAAAATGCAGCAGATATGATGGAAAACGGTGGTTCGAGCATGACCAGTTGTAACAATGGCTAATCTTCGTCTGATGGAGCGAAACAAATAAAGCTTCCAACAAATAACCTGCATGATAGAACTGATCATGAAGACGTTTATCACCTTAACATGTTGGCCAAGGAAACAAATGAAAATCTGTTACCGGAAGCAAAGCTGGCGGCGTCGTCATACACGCTGCTGTCAAGTCCGTAGTCCGAGATGTCGATTTCTTCATCATAATCGTCATCAACCTGACATATTAAAATACATTGATGGTAGTAAAGCCTGTGAAGCTAAAAGGAGAATATTGTTCCACACGACAACAATTTTTCTTTGCCAAGCATCCACCTTTGTCATTAAGGGACGGAGTGCTTGCTCAAGACTATCATTTTTAGGTTACAGCTTGACACTGAAGGCCTTTGAGAGAAAGCCGTTTTTGAGAAATAGTAGAGTTTCTCAGCTGAAGTCGGAAGTTACACTATAACGCAATGTGTACTTGGTAGTGTCAGAAGCCAAGAAGGTACCGATGCATTTGAGAAATCATTCATTAATGACGCCGGCCCAGCTTCTCAATTTCCGTATTGTAACTGATGTTGGACGCCAGTCTTCAGGCAGCAGTGAAATAAAGATTTGTTTCAAAACTTGTTAGCAACGAAAACACTGCGTTCTCGTGAAAATTTCGCTACGGTTCATATGGCAGCGGATTTCTTCGTGGATATAACCAACTTTTGCAGATGTGTTAGACGTTGAGGATATAGCTGTCATCATTACTAACAGTTTTCATTAAAAAGATCAGTAGTCCTTTGAACATACGAAGAAGCAGTGACTAAACGCATTGCTTTGTGTGACAGGCCAGTGGAACGGCTCCTATGTTCGTGTTAGTTGGAGGCTTCATCATTTTTCTACAATAGGCGATAACCAGGAAAATTTGAGTTGAAGACAGAAATTTATAAGAAAACATGTTCTGTCGCTTAAGGTGCGCACATTGTACTGTTAGTTATTTGCTACCATGGTTCACGATGAAACTACACTACATTGCTGTCAGCATTTGGAAGTATTTTTTCGAGCCTATTTCTATATCCTCCGTTCTCCATAGCTGTCCGCGCTATACAATAATGATGATTCATCAGAGTGATTAAAATTGAACTAATATTCAGTAACCAGTCACATTACTGGGTAATGAACTAGTACGAAAACGATTTTGTGTGCTCTTAAATGGGAGATATAGACTTTCCAGGTAAACACTCGTCTCAGGATCCCTGTAGGAGAACCAGCGGATGAAAGCAGTGTGTTTTAACAAGCCTCTTGGTCGCAAAAAGAACGGTCAAGAAAAATGAGTCAAGCATAACTTCCTCAGCCAACCAACTGGCTTGCTAACGCTTGATTCATATACGATTCACATCTTCGTCGATCTAAAACTCTTTTTGAACCCTTTGCTTCACAAGTAGATTAGGTTTCAAGAGAGTTTTTCTATGAACATACTTCCACTTCGCCATAAGCCATTTGTAATAGGTGAGATGTGAAAGCACAACTATTGTTTTAGCACTTCTTTAGCCAAGATCTTTGCGCAAATTTGTAGCAGACTCACCCCTCTAGAATGGTAAGCTGACAGCTGACTCTACATGAGAAAAAAATCGTCGAATGATGTTTCGTTGAGAAAAATGTGTAACATAGACATTTTCCCTTATGAAATTGGGATCACATACACAATTCCAACATCACCCCACTTGTGCCCAGAATTCTTGAGTCTTCTGTTTTCATTAAATCAAAAATTTCCTCAGATTTAGTCGAGATATGATTGGGTGAGCCACCTCGAGGAGCTGATTGTCGTATGACCATCGATCTAGCGCTCCAAGCCACGCACGAAATCCACCATTTTCGTAGAGTTCTTTGAGAAGTCGGATAGCAATTATCAGGACCTGAAACAGTTATAAACCACATTGCAATAAATGTAAAATGGAATTAGTTGAATAACGTCGTTGTTAAAGACATAAAAAAAGTAAGGGCCGATTACCTTAGCGTCGAAAACGGAAAAGCGGTCAAGTGTGGGAATGTGTTGCCACTAAACATATCGAGAAGGCCTTTACTAACAACTACATTCCTCTTAGAAGTTATTCCTCTGGTGCTAAGTGACAAGTCGAGAACGATATGAAACATTTACCATACAGCCTAACCACGTGAAAGGAGAGGTGACTGCTTCACTCAAATCTCTCGCGTTTCTCTCGACGATGTTCTTAATTGAACAATTAACCTTTAAAGTTCTATGCAAGTACAAATATCAAAGATCACCTTGAGAAACCTCATAGTAGGTTCCAAGTGGCTCATGAGCAGCATCTCGCCAATGTTCATCTTTGTGGTGTGCGTGTCTAATAACAACGATGCTTCAACGACAACCGACGTCGCTGACGATATTGGTGATAAATGAGATTCACCTTCATACATCTGCGTGAATGACAAATGCTTTTTTACTGATATCGGAATAGCTAGATACATTCTGAAACACTTGCAACAACAGCGTCAAGCGAAGAGATGACACATCTAAGCTGCTAATAATCACAATCGTTGTTCAGTTCAGCTGCTGAACTGTTTCGTGTAGCTATGAATCGCGTCGAGAAGATGACGACAATGATATCTAAGCTGAGATTGCTTGCCTACGACATCTTTGAATTCTGCCTCACTCCTTTCACAGCACGAACGACCCTGATTTTGAATCTTTCAATGGCGACAGCAAGTGCATTCACAGCCACACATCAAATCACAGCCTTCATTCACCACCAGATCGAGGGAACCAAAAACGAACAAAAGAGGTAAGCATAAAACTGAGCTTCTCTCTTTGCGAATTCAGAAAGGTTTACGAAGAAAAGCATTTGCACCGGTTCGAGCCAAAAGCCGAAGGCAGAGATGCTGTTTTTTGTTTAGGCCTATCAAAATTGTAAAAGTAAAACTTTTGTCGAGTGCGCCAGCTCATCGACCTTGGAAACTCGGTCATTTTTTCAGCATTAAATTCTATGTGGTCGCTTGACAAGAAATAGAAAGCAAGAGAATCGGCATAGGCTAACTAAGCAACATAGCCCATGCCATCAGTGAAGATGAGGTCCCGTCACGAAATATGGGTGGCGCAAGTTTTGTCCTTCATCTGTCCATTCTCCATCTCGTCGTCACGTACGAGATCCCTTCTCTTTGCATGATCGCCCGCCCTCTTCGGCTGATGCATCATAAGTAGATCATATTCACCAATTCCTACTCGCCCTTCCACGCAGACGATAAGTACGAATTGAATACATTTTACTACTAGCTGGAGGAAGTTATCGCATTGATAAAGCGTATTATAAATTTGTTGTCATAGAAATCAATATTAGAATAAGATGGGCCAAGGAAAGCAAGCACGGAATCGAAAATTTTGGACAAGGAGAAGAAAACGATAGGGGAGCCGTCTTTCAGTAGTAATGTCTTTAGTACGCTTCGTCCATGAAGACTCACTTTTCCATGGTAAAGGGAGCCAACGCATTGCATAATATTTTCGTGAGAGCACTAGTCATGCAAAGATTGAATATAATTTGAAAAGCAAAGAACGGTGGCTACTTGAGACAAAAATCAGTAGTCCCATTGGTGGGTTCGATGACTGCCTTCTTCTCGCGATGATTTAATTCGCGATAATTCTACAATCTGGAAAGGAACAAATGTCCTCTAGCAAGAACAACACACCAGCTGTGTACGATGAGCATAAAAGAAATTCTACCCAAACGCGAGTGGTAGATTAAATAAGAGCATACCAAAGACGGTAGGGATACGATAAAGGGTAGAAAGCACAATGTTAATGGTGTCCGCCATAGCGAGCATGGCGCTAGCTCGTTTCCGCACAGGGCCCACCAACCCTCTCATTCCTCTGGGGTCGGGAAATTGGTGCCGGATTTGTCTGGGAAAAAAATCATTCTCTGCATTCCAGTTGGGAACACTGCAGCCCAGCTAGCTAAGGACGGAATCCAGAAAGAATTACTCGATCAGCATTCCACGACATTCAAGATGAAGTGAAAACCCTCAAGTAGTAACTAAAGCCACACGTAAAAGTTGAAAGATCTTCGTGGACAATGGATGCGAAGAAACGAATCGAATGTGACAATGCTGGGATGCGCACAATAGGTGTAAAGATGTATCATATATAATAAAATAAGAAATAAAGAAAAATACCAAAAACAACTAGCTACTTATTCAAAGAGATAGAATTGAGCCGAATTAACCACAAAAGTGTTGGTCGAAACGAGACGGAAATTGAACCATGATCCTACTGCGACATGCCTAACACGGCTAGTAATAATTCATTGCTCTTCTCCAACCCTGAAAAGTTCAAATTGGCATGCAATCTACCCAACCAAGTACATTTTTAACCTCAGCAGATAAAACATAACACATAAATTTGCATTCGATAATAAATAGCTTTTCCTAAACAAGCACTGTTTTGTTCGTTGTAAGTCTTCCGGTTAACTGGTGAAGACTAGGCGCACATTGTCAAACATAGGCGAGGAAGGTGCCCACCTAAGGTCATAGAATCAGCCTGAGGTACGGCGCTAGGTTACGCGTGATCATTTGCATTTGTTATAACCTGTTCTGACAACGAAAGAGTGGCCAAATGGTCTAAACAAAAGCAACTCTTTCAGTGCTTGTTGATTAGGAAGTTGACCCACTCTACGAAAGGAACCTATCCGACTGCTGTGCAAGCGGCTGCACCGTAAAATTTCACCTCTTCCGTTGACACCTTACGGTCATTTGTGAGCAAATGTTTCAGCAAAGACGTGGCATACTGCGGAAGTATTATCATTCTATCACTGCCGCATTGGTGGTAACCATGTCTCAACTGGAAGCGATTGCGAATGTGATTTCATTTAAAGCAAATAGAAACTGTTAATTTGCTGAGCCATCACTAGGTTGTTACGAAATTTTATTTCGTCAACACTTCTGTTCCTTCACGCACTTCGGAGCCACAATAATCACATTGGATGGTCCACAGTATGCTAGGTAGCGCACCGATCGAATATTGTTAATGCTGCTTTGGTTGCAGAAAAACATCGTCTGTGTATGTGGATGACTGTTCAAAAAGCGAAGCGATATGGAAGGAAATTTTGGAGAAGAAAGACAGCGGAATGAGCAATGCTAGCGCCACGGAGAGCAGGAAAATATTAAAAGATGGGCGCAGCCGTTTCGTGTTCCCTTTCGCACAAAAACGCTTTCAGCTGCAAGGTATCTCTGGAGATTTTCGTATTATGCAGCGGTTTTCGTCAATGTGGTGAAAGCTGGTAACTGTCATTGATCAAAGAGCGAAGCGAGTGGAAAACCAGCTAGGTGTCCTGACAGTCATGACGTTAAGCAGAAGAATCGAAAATGATATCGGTTTCTTAAGAAACAACTTTCACTAGATTTCGGTAAGAAAAACCAACAATTTTCAACACCAATGAGGAGACTCCTTTAGAAGTGGGATGAAATTCGAACATTTTAAGAACCTATTGCACTCGTACGGCATTAGCAACCGCAAGCTATTTCTCGGTCATCTGGCGACTTTAACCCAGTTATCCCCAACCAAATCGTCAGAGCGCTGAGCACTCGATGAAAACATGGGTAGGGTATGCAGTGCTTGAAAAGTTCCCACTGTGATGGGTCATATTTGCACGGTCTGCCCACCTTTTAATTTGCTCGGAAATTAATGTGCCGTTGGTAATTTAACATTTTGCTCAGATTTGGCGCTATTGCACAAAACACAAAACTATTCTGTACTGCCTTAAAGGTGGAAAAAATATAATATTAGTTGCATTATTGAGAAATTTCAAAGGTTGGAATCTCAGATGTTGGGGCGCCATTCCGACAAATCCACTTCTACAAATTCACAACAGGATCTTTGCAGCGCAATCAACTGGAAACAATAATGAGTGACGAAGCTAGGGAACTGTTAAGCAAAAAACAGTGATGTTGGTTACAAAAGCTTCGTCGTGGCGAACTCCGCCTTAGTGCGTGTGGAAGCATCGGATGGCCCACAACGCGAACGTTGAACGAGCTGTGTTACGAGACGCTGCCTCATCCACCATACTCGCAGCCTCTTTACTACCACCTACCATCTTTTTAGCCATTCCCATAAATTCTGTGTGAGGAGTGGTTCAGGTTTCAAGCCGAGACTGAAAATGCCTTAAGCGACATCACCTCATCAAGAAATCTAGAATATTATGCAGATAGTATAAATAAAGTTACGTTTTACTGGAAAAAAAGTGTGCACTTTCCAACGGCTTTTATTTTTAATTTAAACATTAACACTGACCTGAGGTATTCCACCTTAGAAATGGTTTGAATTGACCTTTAACTCCCGGAAAACCTTTTAGATATTGAGAAGCGATTCACTCCATGGCTGGAATCGCGCACAGTTGTCGGCAAGAAAGTGACTGAGAAACACAATTTTTGTGCGCCAGCAATCCGCTCCGGATCACTTGAGTGCAAACTCAGTTTGTCCATACGCCACAATCGATGTTAAGTTGTTGGAAGAAAAAATATCTGTTTCGTAATGACTTACCAACTATTGCGTGTCTGCTCTTTGCATATCCTAAGTGTTGTAGGAGGCTCGTGGAACAATACAACTTCATCCTTAAACCGGCCGACTTCTTCATTATTCTGCGGTTAGAAATTTTACGCAAAACCGTTCTCGACCGGAAAGCCATTTAATTGCGCCTTTCCTTGTCAATACAGATCCACGTCCACTAACGTCGCACAGATTTCTAGGGTCTCTCCACAAGGCTTGCTCATGCCTGGAAAATTGCACTTTGCTATTTCTGAGATATTTACAAAACTACGGACCGCAGGTGTTTGCGGTGGAGAACGAACGTGCTCTTACCCTTTCCGGAGGCTAACGCGTTCAAAACCACTCTCCAATGGGAGACTCCCACGTACAGCGCTGAGAGTGGGGCTTTGAAATTGCGAGTTACCATGGATTGTCCTAGTCGCCATGATAAACTCAAA